CACACACACACCCCCCCTCTCTCTCTCTCTCTCTCTCTCTCTCTCTCTCTCCCTCTCGCTCCACCGGTGTCTAAGTGAAATAAAAGGTCGGGCTTTTCAATTGTGCACACATAAGGCCCGTTCGATTTTCAAGAGAGAAAGTCTATTTTATCCAGCATAGTATTAGTATTATGAGTCTTTCTGTCTATTGGGATGAGCAACCCACTCGATCGTACATCAGATCTCTCGGAGGAAGTTCAGCTCGCCTATGTTGAAATTGTATCGACGGGAGCGTAAACATTTCGACTCACCCAACCCTCGAACTAAAAAACCAACCGACCGACCGACAGACTCATCAATCAATCAATCAATCAATCAATAAATCAATCAATCAATCAATCAATCAATCAACCCCCCCTCTCTCTCTCTCTCTCTCTCTCTCTCTCTCTCTCTCTCTCTCTCTCCAGGTTTCTATTAAAGCTTAGATGAAGTAGTTTTGTTCAAAGTGTGTGGGATGTTTTTTTAATATTCGTTTTTTTTTTCTTGTTCCGTGAAGCAAATTGCATTCAAAGTTTAAGACGCTTGTTTTATTTTGTTGTTGTATCAATCGTAAAAGTTACAAATTTATGAAACAGAAGTAATTCAAATACGACTCTGATATAATAGAATCTAGATAATGATTTTCAAACTTGCCCTGAACCAAACCTAGCGGTTTAGTGGATTATAATTGACAATGAAAGTACACGCGGGCACTACACAGAATTTGTGGAAGAATTCATCATCGTCAGTTCGGAGAAACTGATGGCATGTTTTTTGTTGCCACAATCAGAGATTTGGAGTAATGCTGATGAATGCAGCCGGCCTTGTGAACAAGTTTGAAATCAAAGTGTTATGACCCCCCCCCACCCACACACACACACACACACACACACACACAACCTATGATGATCAATTTTTTTACAGACTGACACACTTTAAACAATCCAAATTTCTATAAATATTGGCACACTTTAAACAGATCTAACAGTACTGATGCTGTCATTTTTAAAAGACTTATTAACTATGAATGCAATTACTTGCAATCTAATCGAATAATCAATACAATTTGGTACGTGTGAACATTAACCCCTTCACTGCTGAAAAGTTTCCATCAACATATTATGTACAGACAAGATGAATTGATTACTCGAGGAATTTTTAAACTTAAACACAGAGAATTGTTTCAGAATACCCAAAATCACAAGCTGTAACTATACCAACTAAGACTTCTTTCGTCAACCAGTCAACCAGATGAAACAATAATATAAGTGGTGGATACAAGCCAGAACATACGTCTACTCAGCAGGGAAGAGGTTAAACAAAACTTTAATTATGAATGAGTTGGATAAAACCGTTGAACTTGGAACTCGACGTTATATAAAAAAACAACAGAAAAAAGCCTAGGTTATCCTTGCTCACACACGAACACATAAACAAACACATATAAACAAACACACAAACACACAAAAACACATGAATGCACAAACAAACACACAAACACGCACAAATAAATACACCCCCGCTCACCCAGTCAATCAATCACCCATTCACTCAATTTACTCACACACTCAATCACTTACTCACATATACCACAGGCACAGTTAAGCATATTAATATGCAAATCCAGATGGCGAACAACTCACAAAATAATTACGTCCATTGAACCTCAAAACCTTCACAAAAAAGAACAAAAACAAAAACACACACACTGTGCAACACTCCTCCCTTCAGAAAGCCTCGCTCACAAATAGCGCGCAAAATCCAAAACCGAATAGAACAAGCGAGAACTCACCAAGAACGAAAAAACACCCGAAACATTAAAAAAAAAAAAGTAAACAAATTATAAGTAGGGCGAAATGAACTTAAAACCCAACTCATTGGTTCAGTCCTGAGTTGAAAGGACCACCGTTGAGCCAATTGATCTAGATAGGAAACTGAAAGGGTGCAAGAGACTGCAGCGAAGGGGTGTCGCGACAGCGGGTAGTCACAGATGGCAACCAGGCATTGATTACCACAGTTGTCTCCCCTGACACAAAGCGTGAGCGGTGCAGAGACGGCGCGCGAGTGAGTGACACGTAGTCCACACGTAATGGCTCGCGTTGGGATCTGAAGGCTTGCACATCATTATCTGTCTGTTTGTTTGCTCATATACTTGTAACTGTAAGTCTTTCCGTTTGTTAGCTCATAATATTTTCTTCCCGCCCTGCCACCAC